GCAGGACAGAGTTTCCTGGGATTACCCCATCGATGCAGCGGCTAGATGCAGGAGACCGATCGATCGCTGTCGAGAACTCTTGACCGTGACAGAGCGCTCTCTACCACCTTGGTTTGCGAATCGGCCATTAGAAGTCGGTATTAGCAGGATTCGGACAGGAGCGGAAAAGAGTCGCAAGCGTGAGCAACAATTCGCGAGTTTATATACGGATTGTTGCTCCCGCTCGTATCGTTTCAAGGCGGGGAATTCCAGAGCATATTTATTTTGATAATGGAATCAATCTTGTAGGTGCGAATAGTCAGTTAAAGGAAGTATACTTTATTTAATTCTGAAGACCACAAAAATCTAATAAATATGTATGCGAGTAAACATCGAATCGTTTGGCATTTTATACCCCAGTTGCTCCTCACTTCGGTGGGCTTTGAGAGTCGACTGTTAAGCTCTTTAAACATCATTTTAGACGTGTGACATGGGACTTCTTATTCACATTTGAGGAGCTAAATACGTTTATTATAGAAGTAGAGGGGATTTTGAACTCTAGACCTATTACATCCCTTTCCTCTGACTCGAACGACATGTTAGTATCAACACCATTGTTTAATCGGCAAACTACTGATGACTCTGCCCGAGGAAAACCTCTCGTCTGTACCAGCGAATCGGTTATCTACTTGACAGCATATATCAAAGGTTCATCAAGATTTTGGAGCCCGTTGGAACCTCGAGTATCTAAATGAGCTTCAAGTACACAATAAATGGATCAAAGATGGACCGGATTTAGATGTTGGAGCAGTCGTACTTGTAAAGTACTTGTAAAAAATCTACCGTGCACACAATGGCTGCTAGGCAGGATTACAAGTTTACATCCAGGGGAAGATGGAGTAGCGAGTTGCTACTGTCAAAACAAAAGTCGGAGAAATTAAGAGATCTACGAAGTCTCTTTGTCTATTATCTGTTGAAGACACTTAATATATGACGACTTATAACACATGTGTATTTATGTACACAGTACTTATACACATTCAATTTTAGTCTTTTATTATATATCTATTGTATTCTCTAGAATCTAAGTCGACTTAATTGGAGTACCCCAAAATTTATCACGATAATTTGATTGGTTAACGTTACTGTGCAGCCCCTAGGCATTGTGTATAACACTCAGGGCGACAGTTCAGTTTTGTGAATCCGACTCAGAGCAAGCTTCCAAGCGTCTGTCGTCATTCAGGGCGACAGCCGTCAGACAGTATTTTATTCTGTAATTAGTTATTTTCGAATAGTGTAAAAAACTCAAGGTGTATTATAAATTATAAATTATGAACTGTAACCTGTTGTGTAAAATAAACTACGTACGAAACTACAATGTTGATATTAAGATATCCACATTGATCATAAAACAATGGTTTTAAGCTACTGCTTGAAATGTCATGAACCAATCAAAGATCCGTAACATCTTAAGACATTGCTTGAGATGGTTTTGAGATTAAGAACGGATTATGGATACCGGCCGTAGTCGTAACCGTTAGGACAATAAAAAGCGATAAATTGATTGACTACGAAGCAAGCGTTAAGTTACGCATGACTGCCTTTCCGTTGATTAGTCATAAGGATAAGACGTTAATCGCAATCTTTCGACGGGACGAAAATTTAGGATTATGATCATGGCTTTGTGGTTATGACGGTTCACTCGTGTTGCTTCTGCGGCAATGCTTGGTCCCGACATATGATGCAAGTAGACATGATGTGTTCTTGTGCATGTTTATCTGCTGCAATCAATCAGAGCTTGACCTTTTTTCGCCATTTTTTGGCGAATTTTGTTTCAATACGCCTGCTATAATAGTTTCACACATAATAAATAATTATTTATTTATAGTAAATAATTACTTGCCTATTACTTTTTTTACTGTTATTTTTCATTTAATATTTATTATATTTTTTAATCATTTCAAATCATATGACAACCGTGCAAATATATATGTTGTAAAATAGCGGAAAATGAGGTCAGCGTGTTGCTATGCGCAAATTTGTCTTAGTTACGAGCACATCATGTTTACTTGCATCATGTATACAACTAACTTCAAGGAAAATGCGTTATAACCGCTTTTATAGAAAGATCGAAAATTTTGAGTAATTTTCAATTAAGAATACATATTTTCATCATTTTGCTTTACTTCGTTTTAACTTTATCGTTTTCTCATTTAGTGATTAATTTTATATAAAAACATATGATTTTCAGATAATCGCAAAATTTCATTTTACATTGTAACCATAATAACCTCTTCAAATGCGCATACAATTTCAAATGTGCGTACAAAACAAATGATTTGATATCGGGGGATGACACGTACGCCCGTATTGCATTTTGTCTCTATTTTTGTGGACAATTTGAGTCTTCTCCGTGAAGAAAAAAAAATTATTTTATTACACGGTATTATTTCATGTTGTAAGTAAATGCATCGTGTAACGTTATATTATATAATATTTATAATTTTGTAATTGATGAATCATTTCACGCATACAAAACTTGTATGCGTATGAATGAATCGTCAGTACATTAAGAAAAAGATGCCTGAAAATATATTTGTGAGAAATATATTTATTTCACTGAAATATTTATTTAAGTATAGGCGAAATAAAATTTTATTTCTAGCAAATAAGTCATCCATTTTAATTTTTTGCAATTAATGAAATATATTCACAGAAATGTATATTTTGTCATCACAATCAAATTTCGTAACATCAAGTAACATTTGCTTCAATAATACTTCGACATTTTTCTCTCAGTGTATCTTTGATTTCACGCCATATCTTAGCGCTGAAACAGTACCGTTTCTTCAGATATGTCGAGCAATGGAGTCAGTTTTTCAGAAGTTATGCATTATATTAATTTAAATCTGCTTGTTTTTGTTATTGCAATTAAACCGAAATTTAACTTTAATTGAAGATATTGTAATTTGTAATGTATATGTATATCTAGATGTTTAATGATATCTCTTAATAATTAATGAAAGATACTTTTAAGAGTAATCAATTATTATCTTTATAACCTGATCTCAAATGTTTCTATTATTATAACATAGCTTATAAATTTTTTAACATTTTTAAATATTATTTATATAATTATTTATACATTATGCGTTAACAAAATTTGAATAATCTCTTCAAATGTGAAATTTGGATAACTGCGAGATCACTCATGCATAAAGCGAAAAAAAGCCGGTCATACACGTTCAATAAACTTAAGTATGCTTGCGCAAGCTACATGTGCAAATTTACTTGAATGTGTGAAAAATGTCAGAAAACTTTGTTTGCACAGTTATTTTGGCTTGCACACAAATGACTTGAGCAAATATGAAAATTTATTCGATATGTTTACACAAACAATTTGCATACATAAATTGGAGTGTGTGTGGCACTTTTAAAATCTAATCAGAATATTTGTTCACGTATTGCTTGCACTTTTTGCACTCAGCATCTTCGCTTTCTCTTTCTTCAACACCTGAATGTATATTTATTTTATTTTAAATATAAAATATAATTTTGGGTGATTTTAAACACAATCAGATCTTAATTAGAACTTAATTAACGCATTTAGTCATAATAACAATTTGATTTCTTGCATTAACTGAATTGGTGCATACAAAAATTACTGTACATAAAATTAACTTAAGTTATAAATATATAAGCGCATATTAAATGCCCAATAATGATTAATATACCAATCATAGTTAATTATTCTGTTTACACTTGACTTTACACTCGTGAGTTAGTCAATTCTTACAGATTATGATACAAGTTAATAAATTACGGCCAGTATAAATGATCCTTTATGTATAACTATCTTATGTGAGCAACTAATTGTGAGTCCCGAAACTTATCGGAAAAAATCTGTTGCAACTTTTCTGCTGACGAGTGTACATGCTTGTACAAGCATGTTTGTGCAAATTTATTGGAACGTGTATATGACAGAACTGTACAGTTATTGCAAGACATTACATACGTTCATGTAATTTGTACAAACATACGTGACAAGTTTGTTTGAATGTGTGTGGCCGACTTAAGACAGTTAATAAGCACATTATACGATATTTAAATGTTATAGGTGATGTTATAAGCTTGGCTCAAATATCCTCTAATATTAAGGGGTTTTAAAGACAATTGATCATAGTGTAAGTAGGATTTACACAGACAATTTACGTGTCACTGACATACTATATACATAGTACAGTTGGTCGCAGAAAGATTACAACACTTTTTTTTCGAAGGGTTACAGAATGCTGCTTGCTCATTAATTCTTACTTATCGATAAACAAGAATCAATTGTGAGTATAGGCTGTATTCCGAAACCCATCGAAAAAAAATGTTGCAACTTTTCTGTGACCGAGTGTACATTACTATCTCACGCACACATACACATAAATTTTCGTATAACAATAACATTTTAATTACACATTTAAGTCCAATTTTAAGAATTCTACGTTGTTTCTTTATGCAGACTAACTAATTTGTGGACTACTATTTTGTAAATACAGATTGCACAGCTTTTATATGAAACAAATGTAACAACTTTTGTTCTAGAGCGCTATATTGGATTAAGAAATAATAAAGATCAATTTTTAAATTTTTTATGTTCTCAGCATAAACTCCATTTCCCAGACGCGTATATTTAAATCCTGAAAAAGGATTTTCAATTCTGTAAAAGAGGAAAATGTAATTGTTATACAAAAATTACATGATTTAGTCGATAATACAGATTGCTTTAGAATCCTCTTAAACATTGTTCATATCACACTACGAGATAGGAAATTAATAATAAAAGCTATATGCTTAATCTCATTCAGAGAGCACGAAAGAGGATACATGAAATTTAAACATTACGTGCGCGCTTGCGTATTCAGCCTTGGATTAATTTACTTTAACAACGGTCATTCACATTTCTCGCCTCGTCAGTCTCCGCTGTCTCCTCAGTCATGTTATATCTAGCTTCGAGTTACACAATTACTTACCCAATTATTCGGTACTGTAACCGTTCCATTTGGTAGCACCTTGCCTTTATGCCATATGTAATAGTTAGTGTAAGGTTTTATGCTTTGTAAACTTTTTTGGAACCATTTGTGCTGATCCGACGAATGATTAGGAACAAAATCCATAATAATCTTCATTGATGCAGCATGCGTGGCTTTTACGAGTACCTCAAAATCCTTCATAGTGCCAAATGTTTTGTCGATACTGACAAAATCAGAAATATCGTAACCAAAATCAACCATCGGGCTAGGATAAATCGGAGATAACCAGAAAGCATCAACATTTGATTCACTGAGATGTTCCAATTTGCTTATGATACCTATATTATACAAAAACTTGTCAATTTTTATCACGAAATATTTTTTTGCTAATTTTTTTAGTGTGCCATTAAGTAAATAGACATGATAGCCGTTTGATTTTAAAAGTATTTAACTTTTTCATAGATATGATAATCAATCAAATTATTAAAATATTTAGTTAATATCAGAAGATATCTGAATAATTAAAAAAAATCGGAGGGTTGGTCACATACGAGCGGTTATAGTGTACAAAAAATACGGATTACCTTTAAATCAGATTACTTAAAATTACCTAATACTACCTCAAATTATTCCAGATTATCAAATATTACCTTATATTACCCAAGATTACCTTAGAGCATTTGGAGACACTGGTAGTGTCTCGGCGCTAAGCTACGCGGAGCGACACTGTCGTGGTTACTTTACGCGAGCCGACGAGTTGCCAGGAATTGAGATTATTGGATCTCAATAAGAACTGATCAGGTTCTAAGTGTGCATCTGCTAAAAATGTATAATGAAAGTGTTTTTATTTTTTCTCTACATACCCTACGAGCGGAAATATTGCGATGCAAAATCTGAAATCTTTGATTTTATTTATTATTAATATCGTCGACTAGAGGAAAAATGTATGGTTGCACCGTCTGGCATTAGATGGCGGTATTTAAAATTACGTTATATTTTTCAAGATTACCCGAACGAGATTTTTCAAAATTTACTTTACTCATCTAAGATTATTTTATGCGAGTAAAGTATTATTTCTTCAGATCACTTCAGAATACCTTTATAGATCATTATGATAAATATTTTTGAGAACATCAACTTTAGATTTTCACTGCTTAAGAAAAAAAAACCAATTTTACAAAACAAATGTTTATTGCATACAGGAACACAAAAATATACAAATTTTGCAAACAGAATATGTATTATATAGATAGTAATATTATATAGATAATAATAAGTTTGATTACTCATTTCGTTTGAGATTTTTTAATATTAACAAAACAATATCCAATTAAATATAATTAAATATATATAATAATAGGTACTTTATAAAATAAAAAATTCAAAAAGAAAAATCAAATAAACAGGCAGTTGGGAATTGGCGCTGTAGACGGTGCGCAGTTTTCCCGTACAGCACACTAACATTGAATCAATATCACAGAAATGTTGATTTGCAACATTGTGAACATTTCAATAACATCGCGAAATGTTTAATGTTGAAAAGACGTCTAATGTTGCAAAAACGTCTAATGTCCGTTGAATTACAATATCTGTGAGATATAAAAAATGTTTCTTATATTAATTAATTCAATTTTATTATTAAAATAATAAATAATAAATGAAAAAACGGACAATTAAGAGTCTAAATTTGCAGTAATTGGACCGATTATATCAACATATTTTTCAATCTTATATATGTATAACAAATACTGAACGTTTCGGCTTAATTCAAGTCATCTTCAGCAGTCGATTACTTCGATTTTCGACTACTTAATTTGTACAATACAAGTATTATATTAAGGAAGTTGTATTATACAAGAAAACCAAGATGTCTCGAATTATTTATCAAGAGGTTATATTATACAAGACTGCTGAAGATTGCTTGAATTAAGCCAAAACGTTCGATATTTGTTATATATATGTAAGATTGAGAAATATATGTTGATATAATCTAATTACTGTGAATTCTTAATTGTCTGTTTTTTTATTGTTTATTTTTATATTTTTATACTTCAAGAGCCCAACTTAAATTATTCTTTTTAAAAATAAGTATTATTGATCCATCGTATTCCAAAAAACACACGACAAAGTTATAATTAAAAAGAAAACGCTTCCCGCTCGTCTGAGAATTAATTTCTTTATTTTCCTAAATGGTCACCCATCCAATCTTATACGCCATCCAAATGTTTAACCTCTGCAATCGTACGGGAATTGCAACTTCGATGATCCACGAACACTGAATGTTAGTGGTGTATAATTGTGATATATATTGTAGATATGTACGAGAGCAAGTCAATAAATTTTTAGAAAAACATAGTAAAACACATTTTTTTGATCTATTCATTTTTATTTCTCAACATAGTCTCCTTTCAGCTCGATATACTTGATCCAACGATTCTACAACTTTTTCAAGCCGTCTGAATAATATGATTTGTCCAACCCTTCAAAATAAGCTTCTGTTTCGGCGATGAGCTACTCTCTAGTGGTGAATCTCTTTCCTCCGAACCATTTCTTTAGATTTGGAAATAGGAAATAGTCGCAGGGAACTAAATCTGGCGAATATGCTGGATGGAGAAGCAATACGTAGCGGAATTCGTTGAATTTTGCCATCGGTGGCACGTGTGAACTCGTGCATTGTCTTGATGGAAGAACACTTTCTTCTTCGTCAAATGAGGACATTTTTTCTTTAAAATGTTGTTAAAACAGTCCAATAAGGCTGCGTAGTAATCGCCATTGATTGTTTGCTTTAACGGAAGGTAATCGATATGAATTATATCGCGTGCATCCCAAAAAACTGTGGCCATCACCTTTTCGGTCGACTTCACGGTCTTCGCCTTCTTTGGAGCTGGTTCACCTGATGAAGTCCATTGTTTTGACTGTTCCTTCATCTCGGGTGTGAAGTAATGGATCCATGTTTCGTCCACAGTAATGAATCGACGCAGAAATTAATCTGGATTACGTTGAAACATCTCCAAACATTGTTTTGAAATCGTCACACGATCGCGCTTATGGTCCATAGTGAGCAAACGCGGCACCCATCTTGCCGATAGCTTTTTCATACTCAATTGTTCGTGCAAAATTAAAATCACTGTGCCATGTGATATGCCTGTGACCTCAACAAGCGCGCGCACTTTCACTCGTCGATCAGTCAAAACAATATCGTGGACTTTATCGATGATTTCTAGCGTAGCAGCCTCAATTGGATGTCCTGAACGAGGTGCATCACATATGGATGTACAACCATGTTTAAATTCATTCACCTAATTGTATACAGTCGCAAACGTTGGTGCAGATGTGCTATGAACATTATCCAACTCGGCTTTAATTTCTTTCGGCGTTAAATCTTATATATGTAGATGTTTGATCACTGCATGAAACTCGTTTTTTCCCATTTTGCAAAAAATACATAGGTTCGCTTTAATCACCTACAGAAATAAAACCACGATGAATTCCGCTCAAAATTTGACAGTAATCAGCTGAAAGGTGCTACTTGTCAAAAAGTAATGTGACACTGCGAGTGCCTTCTGACAGATTATTTAAGAACTTATTAACTTGCTCTCGTAGAAGACCACGAGTTGACATCGCGCATTGAACAGACCAACACAAACAATACCACATGTGCGAGCATTCTGCACGCGCAGCCAATTCTCGCGTAAACATATATCGTTTAGAAATAAAATTCATTAAAAGATCAATTGAAGTGATTTAAATTTTCTATTTGCATGACATTTTATTTTTGTTTATTTTTTGCAAAATAAATTTTGATATATTGTATAATTTATTCAATGTCATTTCAACAATGCAACATTAACAATCAATATGAAAAAATCAATAAAAATTCAACTTGTGGTTCAATTTATTTAATATTTTTTCAACGTTGCAGCGACATTAATAATCAATGTAGAAGATTTAATACAGATACAACATTGATAAGATATTGACACTTCAACATTTAATATTGCAACATCTCAGCAACATTCTTTCAACATTCTGTGCTGTATGGGTTTTGTTTCCTTAAAATAATTCTATATTATTGTATATCATTACTTGTATATGTTTCGACTAATCTTTTAACCTTCTTCAGCAAAACATTTCAGTAGATAGTACAATATATTGATTATCTATGAGTCGTCTTATAAAAGTCGTTGTATAATGAAATATCAGTAGATGTCATTGTGTGGCAGTAACATTACAGAATAAAAATCTCCAATTTGAAAGCTGGATGATAATGAATGACTTTAAATCTAATTAAATGTAAATAATAATTAATAGACTAGAAAAAATTGTAAGTCATGGTCAAGAGAAAGACTTACTTTACTTAATTTTTTGTCCCAGCATCGTCTTACACAAAAGAGAGGCATAATAATTAATTTGATATAAGACCTTGTTAATTTATAGATAGGGCTTTCTTAATTTATAGATAGGGCCTTCTTAATTTCTCACCTTATGTTTCACAAAAAAAATTTAGAACTAATTGTGAACATTCTTCTCGTCAATGATTACTCATTGAAGTTTGTCTTTGATGTACAACAGAATCAAACATCTGATTAACAACAAAAAATTTACTACCAATCATGATAAAAACGCAAGGAATAATGAAAATACACAGTCATCATTCACCATCCCATGTATTGATAATATTTCTGAAAAATTTTAAACTGTCATCAAAGATTTAAACTCCAATCTCTTTTTCTTTAGCTTGAACAAACTTCAATGTGTAATCAAAGCACATAAAGATCCTCTCTTTGTTCATCCAAAAAAAAACGTTGTCTATAAAATTTCATGCAATGACTGTGACGCAACCTATGTAAGTTAAACGTGCAGGCAACTAAAAACTAGAATTTCGGAACATAGGAACCATATCCGCAGATGCACGTCAGTTATACGAATAATCGAACATAGGTTGCAATATAGTCATGAATTTAATTGAGATAAAGTTGAAATCTTAGACACCGAATGTATTTACAACAAGAGATTAATGTCAGAGATGATATACATAAAGAGATAGAAGAATGGAATTAATCGTCAAATAGATACAGAATTTTTAGATACAATTTATGTGCCTATCTTCAACAATTTATAACAGACTATAGCATACAATTTAAGATTGTGTTCCCTTTTTACTGACAGTGTAACTATCATCACAATAGTGCACTGCCGCAGCCATTCCAAAATTATTGTGGTACTGCCAGCATTATTATAACGTCATATTTCGGAACGTTTTGCAGTAGACTGGCAGTAGTGTAAACAGAATAGACGTACTAAATTGTCAATACATTTTTTGAACGAAAACAGCAGC